GACAGGGGAGGGGCTGGATTCCCGCTCCGATCCGCCAGTGCTGACTGGCGGAACGGGAGGGGGCGGGTCCACCTGGCTCTGCCTCTAGATAGGCAGAGCCAGCTGTCACTCATGCAGCTGGGCGGATCTCGACATCGATGTCGGGATCCGCTCCGGCTGCGGTGTCTCAGTATACCGCGAGCTGTAGCTGGTGGTATACTGAGCTTAGGGTAAGTAAGTTTACTGAATTTTATGTAGAATTACATTTGCAAGAACTGATAATGCATAAAATGTTAAAGTATTTTGGTGGTGTGACCTCTACACGTATTACTGTTTCACAAAGTTTGTAACCAGCACCCTCTCATGTTTCTTTTCCTAGGGACTTATTGGATAAAAGCCGACATCATTCTAACAGATCCTCTCCTGCATCAGCCCCTGTCAGCCACCAAATAAGCAACCTCATTCGCAGCAACAGCCAGACCCCTAGCGACTCTCTGAGACAAGGCAGCTTAGGGGACAGGTCCAAAGATATTGAACGGGAAAATACCGATCGCTTACGTGACGTTCCATCCGCAGAGCACAAGATCAAGGAAAGCCGTTCCCCGGTAAAGGAACCACCACTTCACGATAAGAGGACGATAGAGGATGGCAGTAAGCCAGTCATCCAGTCTGTATCACCGTATGGTAAACCAGTCCTAAGTGAAAGCTTAAAATTAAGCAACCTGGTAGGAAAAGACAGTGAAAGGAAGCCTGAATTGCCAACAGATCTCCAGAAGATCAAAAGTGATGTCAAAGTTAAGGAGGAGCGCAAAGAGGATTCGGATGTGTTAGTAGTAGGCTCTGAGCCTCCTCATCCGGTGCGGACAGTGGAACATCAACCGCTTCCACCCCCAGCATCCATGCATGGATTATCTTTGCACCACACAATGGCAGCCTCCATGCAGCTCCCAATGGGTAGTGTCCACCAAATGAACAACTTGAATATGCTGGACCGCAGTAGGGTAATGACCCCACTTATGGGAATGGGCCCTCTTACAGGCAGAGAGAGGCTTCAACATGCAGGTTTTGCATGGGACCCAGTGAGAGACCCATTGCGTGATGCTTACCGCACACTGGACTTGCAGAGAAGGATGGATTTCCACTTGCGTGCTGAAGGTATGCACAGGTACCCAGCAACAGCTGCTGCCAGCTTCTATGACCATGAACGATCTTACCGTGATCGCGAGCCACATGATTACAGCCATGAACAGTTCTTGGAGGCACGAAGGGAACAGGAACGATTGAGACATGCTGATGAGCGTGAGAGAGAACGATTGCATTTAAGAGATGAGATAGAAAGGGCACGAATGCACCATCTTCACTCCTCCCCACTAGACAGCCATTTGGCACACATGCAGTCCTTCATGCCACACTTGAGCAGTGTGCCCTATCCTAGACTCAGCCCTTCAGGCGCCATGCACAATGGAATCCTAAACCGGACCCCACCCACAGCTGCACTAAGCGCCCCCCCTCCTTTAGTGCCAGCCAGCAACACAAGGCCCGCCTCCCCCCGCAGGACTAATCCCCTCACAAATTCAGAAGCACGGGACTTCTCACCTTCCAGAAATCCTAAAGAAGTTGAGGCTCGATAGTCTCCTTCTAAAAATATAATAAAAAAAGATCCACAGGAATCAAACACCATGAATTTTAAACTTGTACATAAAATATTTTACAAAAGTGCACTGCTCAAAACCTTCTCTTTTCTCCTCCTGTTTTTGTAAATGTACATTTGTAGGCTAAGCACACTTCTTTTCTTTATTAGCCAGGGAGGACAGTTCAGGGGTGATAAATGTTCCACCCTGGAAACCAAGGGTTCTGCTCTGGTCATGTAACTATTTTTCGATTTGGGAGGCTCATTAGCCAGTGGGATGGGTTTAGTGAGGGGTGGGACTTTTTAAATGGATTTTTGTAGTTTTTACAGTATTTTGGTTTTCGCTACGGTGTTCTTAGTCTCTTCCAGGAAAAAAAAAAAAAAAAGTACCTTTTTTTTTTTAATTTTATATTAGTTGCATTTTGCCTCTGGTGAGGGAAAAATAAGTAAACCTGTTCTTTCCATAAAATAACAAGAGTTTCAGCCCCTTCATTACAGGAGGTATCAGAGAAACATAGCAATGCATATTTATACTTTCAATTTGTTCAAGACACCTCTAGCACTGAAGGGCAGTAACAATATTCTATGGATTTTCTTTTTCTGCATCTAACAGATCAACATTCTTGCTATCATTTTGAACAGAAATCACAGATCTATTATTAAAATAATAAGATTAATGTACAAAACAATTGCTTTTTGCCTTATTTTATCATAAAAAGGTTTTTAATGTTATATTCTTCTGTTTTTTGTTCTGGATAAAATATTCTGGCAGGATTGTATATATTTCATTGACTAGGTTGCTGCATCTCATGAAACGGATCCACCACAGACTTTGTGATACCCACACGCAAACAGAATACACGGATTTCAAGGATCACACTCGCAGTTTAACACATCATCATCCTACTATGCAATTGGTGTGTGAGGCGGGTCCTGGAAGAGGGAATTCTACCAATCTTCCCACATTCTGCCCTACTAACCCTGTTCCCTTGCCATCAAACTCCCACCACCTTCCAAGAATACGAAGGGCACATATTGACACGTGGAACACTGGAAGAGCCAAAACTCATCAAGCAGAGTTGGTGTTTCAGGAGTAGTGGACCATCTACAGGACTACAGCAACACGTTCCCTTGTGATCGTTATTGGAATGGTGGCAGGTAGCTTCCAACTCTAAATGCCACCTCAACTGGGCCAGCTTATGGACCTATTTATTTTCCCTGTGAACCCTTTGTGCTTTGAACCTGTGCAGTGTTTTAATTGAAATCTGTATACAAGAGCGGTAGAATCTTAGAAGTGCGCAAAAGCAAATATATATAAATATATCTATAATATCTATATATATATATATATAAAATGGTGGAAAGAAAAAAAAAGTGTCTAAACATGAGCAACATTTTTTTGGTCCCTTTTTGTTTTTTAATTTTATTTTCTACAAACATGATCCTTCAGTTCTGATACCTTGTCTCTTGTTTGTCTCTGTTTAAGCTGATTGTAATGTAGATGTTGCTTACATGGTATATACATACTATTTGATTTCTTTTCTATAGCAGACAAAATGTGCCATAGAGCAAGAAAGGTAAACTGCAGATTTGGTGCAACCTATCAGTGTTCTGATTAATGCATAAGTGGACACGCTTTAACACTGAGATTTAGCTATCAAATCTTTGGAAATGTGCTTCCTATTTTTTCAATTGGACCTGCGCCTAGCTGAAAGCATATACTTCTTTTTCTTTCATTCCCATGCCCCTGAATTTACCCGTCGGTAATGCAAAGCATGTCCTATGTAAGCTACAAGTCGCTGGAGTTTTAGCTTACACAGAACTATAAACTGTGATATGTGCTAGTTCTGGACTAATAAGTACTATCACATGGCCGAGTCGCTTGGTTCTCCAGACAGGTATTTATTTTGGCGCTCATCACTTGAATGGAGCTGCAGAGGAGTAAAGAAAGATAAGTATATTCTGCTAAAGATACTGGAGAGGGAAGCAAACTAGCTTTGCCCTGAACTCCTGGTCTGCACCAACCTTCAAGGTTTTTTTTTCCAATCCTTTCGACTTGTATGAGGAATCTGTTCTGACACAATCCATCAACACAGGCCCTTAAGGTAGTCATTGATCCCCATGTCAGGGTTTACCGTAAACTGATGCAGATATCCCAGACATACTCCATTTAATACTTGCACAACCCTTCAGTTGTAGATTAATAACATATGTGATATTTTTCAAGTATACATTTTGGACAAGTATACACTTTTATGCCTATTAGGGGAGCAAAACTTTCTTCAAATGATTTTGGGGTGAAGGTCTACTAGTGTTCAAAGACATGGTGCCCTTTGTGATAGATTGAGGAATAATCCTTTAACCTCTGTCGATACCTTTTACCAATTTTATTTTAACTTTTTGGTAAACAAATTTTTTTTAAGAATTTCCCCTGCAAAGATAATGCACAAGAATAGAATAGCCCTGTTAAAGCCCAACTGAACTTTCAGTTTACATCCAGCAAATGCATTCCAGATGCATCAAAACAAAAAGGTGTGTATGGGCCCTTACCGTTAATTTTATTTAAAAAGCATCCAGGTCCTGAATACAAAAGCCTCTCCCACTTCCAGCATGCTGCAGGGAAGGTCCCTCTCTCTATGTGGAAGCAATGCTCTCTGCAGGGGTCCCCACACTCCCTGCTGAATTAGAGCTCTAGCTGTGTAATCAGTAAAACTCCTATTCCCTGCTGATTGGAGAGCTCGAGCTCTGATGCAGCAGAAGGGGGTTGAACTTATGTAGAGAGGCCACTGATTCCACACAGAGAGCAAGCAAGCTGGCAGGGGACAGGTTTTTCTACTCCGCGCATTTTAAGGAAAACAAACTATAAGTGTTCATTCACACCAAGCTGCAGTGTGAAATAGCGCACACATTTCTGTGCACTGAGCACCCTACTGTGCGATTATTTCCCTGGAGGAGAAACACTTATCCTGCTCACTGATACAGAGACAGCAACTTGGTGCAGTCACAGTTTACCTAGTAACATTTGTTTTTAAAAATACTTCTTTCATTGATTATGCTGTTCAAATACATCCTGTGTTATACAGCATGCAAAAGTGCCATACTAGCGCACTAGTGTCATTCAGTGCAGTAGTACGGATTGCTGCTGCTGCTTGAGGAGAAGATACAATTGGACTGGCCAGAATACCAGAAGGGGAAAAAAGGGTTTTGTTTTTTTAATTTAAATGTCAGGGGGCCTCAGGTATGGGGGGGGGGGGGGTTTTTTTTTTACCCTTACACAAAC